GTGGTGGTGGGGGAAGCCTAAACCCTTGTCTCATGGTATCCTTTTTTCCCCCTTGTTTCTCTTAAGGCTGGAAACTCAATCTGCCAAAGGACCCAAGCCATAGCAACATCTACTAAGAAGTCTCTTATTTAAAAGTGTAGCCTTCTTTGTTCACTTTAACCTTCTATATTTTTGTTTATGCTTTTTAAAAAAGCTTGCCATCCTTTCCTTCCAAAATCTCATTGGGACTTAATTAAGAAGAAAATGCAACTTCACTGCTCAAAACAAGATGGTAAGGGGAAAAAAAACCCCAAGGTAGGAGTATTTTAGTGAAAGTGCTGCAAGTTCAGCTCTTGAATCTGAAAGCACATGTACTGGAGATGTATGTCCATGTCCTCATCTGCACAGACCATTGAGAGCATTGTCTTTCTGAGCTTGAATCTTTTTCGCTGTAGAATTTTGGAAAAGCAAATACCAAAACAAAAAAGTACAGGGGTTTTTCTGCTGATGGCATCTTTCACTCCCTCTTCCCCCCTCTGTCCACAACTGTTTTGGAACTGTAGGACCTTTTCCTAGCTAGCAAAAGGCAGATGCTAATACTTGATTGGGCTTCTTCTGGCTCAAGAGGCTGTTGCTTTGATTGACAAGTGATGTCATGTTCTAGCAGGAGCAAAACAACTGACGGCTAGAGACCATTTGCTGTTGCCACACTCCCTTTCTGAGAAAGCAGCATTGTTCTCTGCTGTGGCACTGAGGTGGGCATCCAGGGAAGAACTGCTTGTTTTTATTTCAGCCCTGACCTCTGCATCATACATGCCTCGTTGCACAACAGCCCTTTCTAAATGGAAGTCAGGACAGAGACGGGAAAAAGCTGTGTGTGTTTTACTACAATTCCCAGAATACGCATTTCATAAATTAGAACAAAAATGTAATTTTTCCCATCTGTTTCCCAGATGCTAGTGCAAAATTCAGGGAAGCTGTTGTTGGCACTTCATTACAAATGACGATAACTGAATGACAGCTATGACCAAGATTTGACCATGTTAAAGACGTAGCCTATCAGAGGAGTATCTGGTGTGTCTTGTCAAAATGGAACCAGCCTTGCTGAAGTGAACTAATCTCTGCTCTGCATGGAAGGTGTGAGGAAGCTCGTCCTTGGCGAGACACCACTGGCCAGAACATTGGAGAAGAACCACCAACTGGAGCAGCGAGTGTTGGGCTAAATGGACCAGTGGCCTCACTCTTTGCAGTATATGGCAGCTTCGTATTTCATGAAGGGTTCCCTCCAGGAAGCTCAGACTACAGGCCTCATGAAGCAAAAAGAAAAGCCCAAGCATGGAAAATGAGACTTCACTTTCCAATTCTTAACAGACCTACTCACATAAATAACAAGCAGCCCTACAAAGCAACCTAGTGTTGCTCCTTCAGGGTGGGAGCGGACATACAGTTAAAAAAGAAAAGAAAGTTGAGCTATTATTGTAACATTCCTTCTTTAAATATGTAAAATGAACAGGAATACGAAGGTGGTGTCAGCTATAACTATATACTGGATGAGGAGACTGCAGCACATTCACAAAATAAAACTCATTAACCTATTTTTAAAAAGGGCCTACAATGACTTGTTTAAGGCCAATTAAGAATACCTATATCCTATTATTGCTCCATATTCCATGACAAGCAAATGGAGGCAAAAGGAAGACAAAACTTTCCTTCTCCAGCCTCATCTGAATCCATATTCTTATGGTGATCCTTGAAAAAAAACCAGATGCCCATTTCTCTCAGGCAAGATAGTTACTACACTCGTATCTGCTAATGATGTTGGACATTCTTGGGTAGGGGGATGTGCATAAGGAGCACAGCCAAGATTCTACAAGTATCTTCCCAAAATCTAAAATTGTATTGTGTATGATGTGTCATCAGCAGTGACCTAAACAGGGTTTCCAGTGTATGTGAGATATATTTAAGAGGTAGCTTCTACAGGCCAAGGTCTCCTGAGTCCTTGTCTGACACTCTAGCAACTGCACTGGCTCTCCAATATCATTTTTTTTTTAAAGCATCTAAATTTAAATAGCATATTATTTCATTCTGTCAACTTTTTATTTTAAGTTTGCTACGGAAACAAGAAATAAAAGAAACAGTAGCTAAAGGTATGCCATTTTGACCATGATGATGATGCTATAGGTTTTGCTTTTAAAAAACAACACACACACACATACAAAAACAGCTTTGCCACAGGGCAGAAATGGGCAATCATTATTTATTTGTTTCCATTTACATTCCGTCCAGAAGTTTAGGGTTCATATATACCTCCTGCCCCTTGCTTCCCTCTGTTCTTCTTTCAAACAAAAAAGGCTCCTTGGACTTTCTAGAAGAAGATAATTTTGCTATTTTCTTCTCAGACCTGAAAGTAATGTCCAGATGTGCTCTCATCCTTCCCCCCGCCCTCTTTCCCTGATACCCAGTGAAACATCCCCAGACTCCTTAGGAGAAGTTGCAGCGGATGCTCTTTTCAAAGAAATGGCAGGGGGTGTTGGGGCAACGTCCTGGAAACCCTGGGTCATATATATTAGACCTATAGGCTGCATTCTGCCCCTCTCCTTACTCTATGGATTGTTGTTCAGCAACTCTTCCAAAAACCCACAACAACCAACAGGAGGGTTTGTTGGAGCAGCTCATGCCCTCCCTGTCCCTCATTTTCCAAAAGGAGTGAAGCACCTATGGGTGTTAAAATGCGTCTGCCTTTAGAGTCTCCTCAGCCTTCTGTACAAGTTCTTCAATTTTTGCATTAAACTATATGTGCCAGCCACAACAGTTTTAAATAAATGTCTCAATGCATACTTACTAAATTCAGCAACTCAGAAATCCCACCACCTTTGAATAGTGTGACTAGACATAAGAAAAAAAATGGATTTCTGTGATCGGTCTTTTTGAGGTTATCAAAGGTAGACATTCATTTGCTGGGTTTGTTCTTTCGTCCTTCTTATTAACAATAAAAGCATAGTGCACATGCCTGCGTGCATGCACATTTCCTTATTTTCATTGACTCTAAATAATTGTCCATAAGTTACTCAACTGTACTTTCATTGAAAAATCCTTTCAACCTTTTGCAACTAATAATCAGACTGTTAGAAACAGAAAAGAAAGCATTTTGTATGTGGAATTCAGCCAGTCTGACTACTAAACATTAGTATAATGGGGCCAATTTTTGATCAACCTGTTTTTTGTTTGTTTTTTACTGCATAGTCACATTTATGAAGAATAAATATCCTTGTATATGTTGACTGTTCCTAACACATATGGAAATCCCTTGGACTTCAACTCCTCCAGCCTTTTGGTAATACAGATGTGTCTATATGCCTATGAGTGATCAGAATGATATAATCATGAATAACCTGCAGGACATCTTCATGTGTTTTTTTTCTTGAGACTTATATAATGGTATTTTATAGAAAATGCTATTCCATTCCACATTCCCTATTATTATTATTTTTCTTCATCCAATCTTTGAAGCTGACACCATGGCTTCCATTTTCAACATTTTATAAATACAGTGGTGCCTCGCATAACGAGCGCACCGTACAACGACGAATTCGCATAGTGATCCCTTTTTTGGGATCGCTAATGCGAAGGCATGCCGGCAGCCCCAATGGGCAAAACTCGCATTGCGAAGATCGGTAAGCGTTTCGCTTACCAATCTTCGCATTGCGATGTCAGGAAATCAGCTGATCGGCGGCACGAAAATGGCTGCCAGATGGGGGAAACTTCACTAAACGGTGAGTACAGAAGCCACTGGAACGCATTAAACTAAGTTTAATGCGTTCCAATGGCATTTTGCGTCCCGTTTAGCGATGTTTCCCCATAGTAACGGTTAATCCAGAACAGATTAACCTCGCTATGCGGGGCACCACTGTATCTCATCTTCTGTAGGTGAGTCCACCAAGAACAGTCAATGCTGTTAAAAGGCTTGAGTAGCCTCCTTCCTGATATTTAGATTAGAATGAAAATGAAGGATTTCCTGCCAATAAGATCTTCTTAACAAATGGAACAGACTAGGTTGGAGGGTGGTGGGCTCTCCTTCACTGGAGATTTTTAAATAGCAGTCAGCTCTGTCAGGGACATTTTAGCTGTAGACTCCCTGCTTTAGGGGAAGGCTACAAAGGATGACTCTTCAGGTCCCTTCCAACTTTATGATTTGATGAATTTGGTTTAACCAATATTGTATATAGGTGCTACTGTACTTGAAGTTCGGATTTAGGAATACAGTGATGCCTCGCTTAGCGATGTTAATTCGTTCCAAAAAATCGCTGCTAAACGAAAACATGGGTAAGCGAAATAAAAAAGCCCACAGAAACGCATTAAAACGCGATTAATGCGTTCCTATGGGCTTAAAACTCACCTTTAAGCGAAGATCCTCCAAAGCGAAGCCATTTTCAGTGCCTCTTAAGCGAGGAATCTGTGCCTGAAAACAGCGAGCGGCCATTTTGTTTACCTGGTGGCCATTCTGAAACCACCGATTAGCTGGCCGAAAATGGGGGCTTCCCTGAGATCATCGCAAAACGAAATTCCTCCATAGGGACCATCGCAAAGCGATCGCTTTTACGATCACAAAAAATGCGTCGCTAAGCGATTTCGCCATAAAACAGAGCGATCGCTATGCGAGGCACCACTGTAACTCGGTGAACAAAGAAGTGGGAGATAAAGTAGGGTTAGGACACTTTACAACAAAAAGGTAGCAACTGTGGCCTTAAGGATGTCTTGGTGGGGGTCCCACAACTCCCATCAGCCTTAGTCTCAGGAATTACAGGAGTTGCAGTCCAAAACTATAAGGATGGCCACAGTGGACCACTCCTGCTTTACACAGATACACAAAAGATCTGAGAAATTACACTTCCAGCTAAACAGCAGTCTTCATGCACAATCCGCCCATAGTAATTCATTTAGCAGCCTTGTACCTTGACTTTCATAATGGGTGAGTGAACTAAATACAGATATATCTTAGCTGCCAATAAGACATTCTTCCGTGCAGAATCATCATACACACTTTATTTTACAGGATACACGCATCCAATCTGCCTTCAAAAGAAGTGTGTCTTTGGCAATGGCCTCTTTGGAATACACCCGAGGCCACAAAATAATCTTTGTTTGGATGGAGGTCACAAAATAGCATTCTCGTCTCTTATGAGACCCACAACAGAACTGAAAACAAATTACGGAAAGTATTTTCCATTGATGGAGAGCAGGGAATGTGGAAAAGTCAAGGCAGTCAGATTGTCATTGTGGCCACTCACACCTGTCTACTCAACACTAGAAAGACAAGGATCTTCATGGTGGAGAGCGTGAGTCCCAGCAAGACAGCCTCTAAAGGAAGGCTTCAGAAGAGAAGCTGAACAAGGTAGCGAATGCGACATTGACTCTCCTGATAAATCAAGTACTCGCTTTGGCTGAAGTTGGAGTCCTTATACTTGGCCACAGGAATGGGCTTTCCTTGGGATACCAGCACCTTTTTTCCATCCAGGATTATCTCTTTATCATGTGCAGGATCTAGAAATAACAAAGCAAGTCAGAAGCCAAGAATGAGGCAGAACAGCACAGAGTTAAAAGGCTGCAGCTATTTTAAAAGCTCTTCAGACTTGCTGCCTTCATACCTACCTGGTTCAGTCATGCCACATGCGAGGACACTATCATAACCATCTGGAGGCTTTCGCAGTGAAGGGTCATCACGGACAATGCGATACTCTTTGCCGAGGACCACCTCATTCAGGAACATGATTCCTACTCGCTTGGAAGTGGGGCCCACTATGCAAAGAAAAAACAAAAGGAATGTATGAAGAATTATGTAAGCCTGTAACTTAGCACTCTTTATACATTTGCATGTATTGAATGTAATGTAATGTGTGAAGACAAAAAAGAGCACAAAGATTAAAAGCAGGTGTAGAAAAGAGGAGACAGTAGTGGACAGACTGATGGAGTAGGATTCAGGAGACATGGGTTCAAATCCCTGCCTTGCCATGAAAACCCAATGGATGTCAGTGTGGCACTATTCAAACCACACTCACATATCTCGAAAAACCTACTGGAGTTGCCAGAAGTCGAATGTGACTTGACAATTCGTAACACCAACAGGCAGAAAGGTGGCCAGGAGAAAGAAAGAAAAAAACTCTAACGCCTAGTATTTGTGCATTAGCTCTAAAAAAAGCTTCCAATCCCAGCAACCTGTTTCTGCTTGAAAACAGTTTTCACTGCAAATTGACACAACAACCACAATAACAACTACCTATAAAAGGTGGGTTAAAAAACCCCAGAAAGTCAGAATTTTGTTACTTGTGGTCCCTGTTGATATTGCCTAAGGCTTAGTTCCTGTAAAATGGTTATTCCGTTACAACTGAAATGGTCAAACACTTGTAGGGGAATGAGATTCTACCCCAAGGGTCATAGATGCACTTGGTAACCTAGGGAGACCTCTCTCTCTCTCTCTCGGTTAACTACTGCACTACGTCGGGTCTCCTTTGGGCAACAACTATTGGAAACCAGCCACAAAAATAATTAGAAATGGAGTCACCCCACTTCTGGCTCACTGATCAAGGTCTGTGGATGAATGCGAGACATATTCCCTCTCATATTCTTCAAGGACACAAAAACTGAAGTGATGAAAAGCAGCACCAGAAAGGGAACGACAGGTTACCTACTGGTAATTGTAGTTCTTCGAGTGGACCTCTGTGATTCACACTATGGGTAATCCGTGCATGCGCGGAGCCTTGTGGGAATATTCTAGAGCTTCTGCAGTAGCAAAGAAAATACATTAGCATAGACCCCTTCCACCGGTATATGTACCTTGGCGCCGAGGCTCTCTTTCCAGTTAGGTCAACTGCCGCATAAAGAAAAGAGCATGACAGTGGGGAGGCCGGATCGGTACATGTGAATCACAGAGGTCCACTCAAAGAACTACAATTACAGGTAGGTAATCTGTCGTTCTTCTTCGTGGCCTCTGTGAATCACACTATAGGTGACTAAAAAGCTACCGTACTCGGAGAAGGGTGTCAAGCCAAGGTAGATGATTATACACCACGCCCAAAAGCAGCATCAGATTACTGCCGAACGTCCAATCTGTAGTGATTGATAACCGTGGATGGCTGTGACCATGTGGCATAGGGGCAGATGTCTGATACGGGGACGCCCTGAAGAAATGCCGTAGATGTCGCCAATGCCCTAGAATGAGGGTAGATACTCTGTGGGGCTGGAACTCGAGCAAGCTGATAAGCAAGCTGGATGGTAGACGCAACCCAGTTAGATATTCACTGCAAGGTAACTTGAAGACCCTTGGCAGGAAGTTGGTAGCTGACAAAAAGTCTAGCTGAGCATCTCAAGGGTTGAGTGCGGGTTATGTAAAAAGCCAGAGCTTGTCTTACATCCAGAGTATGGAGGATCCTTTTTTGATGAGTAGAAGGAGACGGAAAAAAAGGAAGAACTAAAGGTTAGAATAGGTGGAACTGGGAAACAACCTTGGGTAGAAAAGAAATAGCTACAAAAAGTTTAACCTTATCTGGGTAAAACTGGAGATAAGGGTAATCAGATCTTAAGGCCGCAAGTTCACTAGGATGTCGCGCTGACGTGATGGCCACAAGAAATATCGTTTTGAAGATAAGTAACCTGAGGTCAGTTGATGCCAGGGGCTCAAACAGGGCCCTTGTAAGTTGTCAAAGGACCAATGTCAGTGACCACTGAGGTGGTGGAAGGTGGATATCTGTGGTAGACGTGTGATAGCCCCTTGAGGAAATGTTTCAGAGTAGGGTGTCTGAAAAACTTAGTTGCCTGAGAGGTTGGTGGTTGATAAGCCACAATGCAGAAAGGCAGACCTTGAGGGACGAGAAACACCCTTAGTTTTTAACTGCAATTAAAAAAAAGTAAGACAGTGGTAAAAGAGGAGTTGGTTGAGGAAAATGATGACTCTGCAGTAAAATATTTTTTTCCATTTATACATATAGGCCTTCCTGGTTGAAGGTTTCTTTGCATGATGAATGATATTTATCAGTGAGGCTGAATCCTCCACACTACGAGGTAAAAAGCAGGGAGATCTGGGTGTAGAATTTAATTTTTGTTCTGTATGAGCAGGTGAGATAGACGGAGCAGGTGATAAATGTTGGACGACAGCTGGTGGAGAATTGGAAACCATGGCTGCCGCAGCGACCATGGAGCTATCAGGATAGTATTGGGCGTGTCCTGCTGAAACCGGACTACAGCTTTGTGGAGGAGCTGGAACAGTGGAAACAGGTAAATGAGTGACTTGGGCCAACGGCCAATGAACGCATCTCCATGCATGGAGGGAGCAGTAACGCTTGTATTTCCAGTTTACCCGGGAGGCAAAGAGGTTGATGGTGGGTGTGCCCCATCATTTGATTAGGAAGAGAAAAACAGATTGATCTAGTTCCCATTTGTGGGCTTGCAATTTTTTTTTGACTGAGCAAATCTGCCAGATTGTTGTCTTGACTGGCTATATGTTTTGAAAATAATAAGGATAATAATAATAATAATAATAAATAAAGTTCAATAATTTTCCTACTTTCATTTTCAGATTTCTCACAGAAGCAATGATCAAGGCTCTCAACGCGGCAGTTGAAATGAACTGAAAGGAGAGCCTCAGCGCCAAGGTATATATACTGGGGGGGGGAGGGGTCTATGTATTTTCCTTTGCTATCGCAGAAGCTCTAGAATATTCCGACGAGGCTCCGTGCATGTGCGGATTACCCATAGTGTGATTCACAGATGCCACAAAGAAGAACCATGGTCTCAATTACTTAAAGACCCGCTTAGCTTTCCCTTCTGAAATAAATCAACAAATATAGCGCAGTGACGGTAGTTTTTCCAAGTATCCTCACACAGACGTGGTGATGCGAGGCAGGGAAGGAAAGAAAAGGCCTTGACGGCCTCTCACTCTCCTGCGCTGCTCAATGGCTAACAGAAACCCAGTTGGCAAAGGGAGGCAGGAGAAAATTGAAAAGGGGGAAATGGTTACAGAAGAACAAGAAGAAATAAGATCCTTGCTGGAAAAGGGAGGAAAAAAGCTGCCTCACCATATCCGGCTGATTTGCTGTTCTCCGATGCGAAGTAAAGGCCCCTGCCCACACGGCCGCCTGAGTGTGGCATGATGCGCAGGCCGCTCTTCAAGATGGCAGCAATGACAGCCACACTGGTGCCATGCCACAGCAACCGCCTGTTTTCCAGGTGGTCATGAGACTTGAAACGGGCAGCCTGTAAACACAGGTGGAGGCAGGGAAGACGGCAGCATCAGCCCACAAATGGTGCGAGATTATGCTTAGGCGCCATCAGGCACAAGTCTTCTTTTGGTGCTAAGCACAGACTGCGCACTTTGAACATCAACTCATCAGTCACTGACAGCTGTGAAACACAAGCACCACAACGCACCCTCCTCCTCCTCAGACTGCATACCCAGAGATAATAGCTAGAATCCAGCTGAAAATTTTCAGCAGCCCATTGCCACAGTTGAAGAAGTGAACAAAGATATTTGCTGTTGCAGGATAATTTGCATGCAACAGCAAATGCCGGTACCAACTTTGGGACTTGCAGCAATTTGCTGTTGAGATTTATTCCAATGGACCTAATGCTGGCAGGTATAAGTAATAAGATTCTGGCTGTTATCTCTAGAGGAAAAAGAAACCTACTCTTTTCCTTTTTATCACTGGCTCTGTCCTTATTCACCTAAAGGGCCCATTTGGGTGCTTCACAGTCTGAAGAATAACTGTTCATCACTGTCGTCGCTGTTGTCATCCTGTCCCTCACTTCACTCCTCAGGTGGGTAGAGCAGGGAGCTGGGGGGGGATGTGACTGGATTGGGTTTTCTCTTGTAGAACCTCCCTGGGACATTGGTTCTACAAGTACACCTGCTCACTTTATTTGCTTGTGGCACACCGAGAGTTTAACAGTACAAGATGATCCCTGGTGATGGGAATGGTCGCCATGAGCCCAGAGATATAAACACTCCAGCTTTGGGGTGCAGCTTCACTACAGCCTCTGATTCCCTCCATTCCTTGTACTCATAGAGTCCCACAGGACATGAGTTTTGCATGTTCAGAGTGACTTGTCCTAGTCACATCACAAAGAACTTATCTGGTGTCCTTCTGCTTGGGCTGGCACAGTCGTGTGTAACACTGTAATGCTCAGGACACCAACCCCAGGGCAATAACTCTTAACATTATTGATCAATCAGCTCAATAATGAGGAGCATCTTGGTCTTCTTATGTCATTGGACTGCAATTCACAATAGTCTTGGCCAGCACAACCAACAGGGAAGGAAAGATGAGCCACAGTTCTGGAGGACCTGGCATTTCCCAACCCTCACAGAGGCTCCTAATAACTTCTTGCTACGGAACACATATCCAAAGGCATCCGTGGCCGAAACTAAAGATGAATGAATTCAAGGATTGCATTTTTGTGGGGGTCATTTCTTTTCACCAAGCACCTGGAGTGCATTCTGGCGGGCTCTTGAAACAGCTGTGAAGTGATCTGTTCTTAACATTGTTGCCCCAGGACAGAAGTAAGCATTGAGTAGGTGGTGAGGTGCTTACACAAACCAAGGACTAGAACAAGAAAGGAAGCCCATTGCTGGCTGACCTACCTCACCTTCCCTGTTCACCTTCCAGATATTCAGCACCGTGAGCTTTTGGCAATCTCTGCCAGTGTTTTCCACATATGTTTCAATCAGCTAATGGGGCAAGGGAAGAGAAAAAAGGGAAGAAAATGCAGATTAAGCTGCCAAATTTAAAAGATCAATTGAAACATAGAAATTCAGCATTTTTTATCTAGGGAGAGGCAACCCACGAGCTTCCTCCACTGGTCTTACACTCTCAAGCCAATGGTATGATGACCAGTCATACTGTCACAGAGAACAAGACATTTTCTGCTGGGCCGCCATACCTTATAATCCTCTGATGATGGATCCACCAGGGTAAGAACACACTTCAGGAGGCCATAGTCCTTGTCCAGAGGATGTGGAACTTCTATCTTAATTTCCTCTTCCTCCTCCTTCTGGGCCTGTAAGCTCTGGGCCAGTTCAATATCTGCCAGTACCTATCAAGAAAGGAAACCAGTCTGCATGAGTAGGCTGGATACTCTGGGCTGTAGTGCTATCACCACAGAGGTGCAAAATCTGAACTGGCTTTGCATTATGAGTCTCAAGCTACAAATCTCAAGTCAACAGAGCCTTTTCTCCTTGTTGTAGTTCCACTACAGAAGACAACAAGCCCTCCCATCCACATAGCTCTCAACAGAGCCAATGCAATTGCTGGAAATAGTGCCACTGTCAGTTTTAATGGTTTGTCTGGAAGCATACTTTAACCCAGAGGTCCCCAACCCCCGGTCCGTGGCCCAGTACCGGTCCGTGGCCTGAGCTGATGAGTTTACAAACAGCAGAACTCCCCCCACCCCCGCACGCGTTCCCCCCACACATCCTGTTTGCGCCTGCATGCAAGCGCCTGCATGAGCGCTGCACTCCCCTTTGCACATGCACGTGAGTGTGCATGCTCCTTCACGCATGCGTATGAGCGCAGGGGGCACCCCGCCTTCCCCAGCCAGTCCACAGGGCTAAAAAAGTTGGGAATCACTACTTTAACCCCTCTACCCTCAGATACATCTACTGACACAGAACTTGTGGCTTGCCAGTGCAGATGAAACTTTGACACAGTGAGAGCTTACACAGTAAACTCTCGCTTTAGCAGTGAGACTACAAACAGATATTAACAGATATTAACTGTCATGAGGGCTAAAAGCAATTTATGTTGGAGAGATAGAATTCAGGCAGCATTTCCTGTTTGAGAAATCAGACCAATCACAAAGCAAGCAAGCTTATTTGTAAATTCTAAGAGATGAAAGAAGCTTCTATTGTCATGCCCAACAGGTGAGTGCAGATTCATGTTTTTAGGCTGGAACTCCCAGAATTCCACATGAATTACCCAGGCAAAATTCTGAGAGTTGCAGTCAAATTTTTGGGAGGCATTGACTAGGGAACTCTGGGGACTGAAGTCCAAAAACACAAATCTGCTCACGCCTAATGCTCACAAACAAGGATGTCCCTCTTGTTATGACAGGTTATCTGCCTTGCGATTTCTCTCTCTCTCTCTCTCTTTTAATGGCAAGACTGATCAAATCCTTAGAGGTTCTCACCAACAACATGTCCTTCTTAGCTTGGATGACCTCCTGTGTATCAATTGGTGGAGGCCGGTTACGGCCAAAGTTGTGAGGGATGATGGTATAAAAGCGAGAGGAAAGCTCCTCCAGCTGTTTCTGTGAGGGTGGCGGCTTCTGCAGGGCTGTCTCAATGGCCTCCAGAGCTTCAAAGCCTTTGGCGATCTGTTGCTTGCTGAGCTTCCCCAGGGGCATCTTCTTCACATCTGAAGGAGTGGCAAGGCAAAACAAGAGAAAGCTTGACAGAGGTCAATCTGGTTGCTTTAGACTTCTAAGGATTCTGCTGATCAGAGTGTCAATTATGGATTTTTAATAGAAATATATGGCAGGAAAAATATAAGGTATTTGAATGGAGTGACTGGAATTATTTGCAACAATGAAGACACTTATAAGGAGATACCCAGATGAGTTTACAAACAGCTTATGACTGATTATTTGGTTTTGTTCTGGTATCAGCCCTTTACAGGGATAATGTCAGCTATGAAGAATCATAGAATCTCTTCTCTTTGCCTGGGAGGTCTGTAAATCTTTTAGGACTCCCGGGGGGTGGGAGGTGGTCAGTTGTGCACATCTGGACCTGACAAGGGTTGAAGCCAAACAGGATTGGAATGCCATCAAGCTACCACTCTCCAAGCCTCTTCTCCAGCCTTCCATTGCAGCATTATCTGCTACTCCCTGGTTGGTCTTCATGACACAGAAGACTGAAGAACTCATTATCATCACTACTGGTGCTTTGAACTTCTTATCTCCCAAGTCTCACCATCAACATTACCACGACAGCCAGACACATCCACTTTTAAAAATCACCCATGGGTTTATAATCACATTAAAGAGATTCCTTTTCAGTGCCCATGAAATAGGACCATGTCCAACACCAAAATCAGGCTAAAAATCAGAGACTGAACACAATGCTATCTGGGGAATTTGAAGAGTTGGTACTCCAAAATAGTAGCTCTTCCCAGCCCTAAGTGAAATAAGGGAAGTCAACACTACTTTCAATCACTCTGGCCAGTATCCTTTTCTGTATTTATGTGTCCAGAGCTCCAACTGAAGGGTCAGACAGTCATGTGCTTAATCATGCGACACAGCTGGAACTTTGTAAGACTGCCATGGCAGTTTCTGGAGTTGGAGTTCCACGTACATGGATACTGGACAAGGTTCCCAAATCTAATCTGTGCTTACTTCATACAAGAGGTTAAGGTAATAAAGATGATCTTACAAAAGAAACAGGAAGGAAGAACTAGCAAGATTCTAGAAGCAGTGGCTTAGTGAATGTCTTTCCTTTTTTTGGTGATGCAACAAACTCTTTTCCAGTTTTAACTCTGGCTTTTGAAGGGAAAGGAGATGAACTTCAGGTGCTAATTGATTCTTTTTTGTTTGGACCCCAACTCCCAGAATTCTCCAAGCATTCCCCAGGCAGAATTCTGGAAGTTTTAGCCCAGAGGCTGAAACCCACAGACACCAGAAAAATGCCTAGTCCTCTAAGGCTTCATCAGATTCTAGGTCTTTTTTCCCTGCTACAGTGCTGCCTGAGAGGAAGTTGCTACAAAGCTTCTTGGACATGGTAGTTTCACTGCCCTTTACGCTCCATAGAAGGTGACTCCTGAAGAACTACCACGCCCAAGAAGCATGGCAACAGCTTCCTCTCACAAAGTATTGCAACAGGAAAATAAGGCCTAGAATCGGACAGAACACTGGACAACTTTTTCCAGGTGAGTGAAATGAAGGTATCTCCAGATGTGGATCTTTTGAGCTGAAACTCTCACAATTCTGTCTGGGAAAGTCTTAGGGAATTTTGGATGCTGGGAATATAAATGTATGTATGTATGTATGTATGTATGTACGTATGTATGTATGTATGTATGTATGTACGTATGTATGTATGTATGTATGTATGTACGTATGTATGTATGTATGTATGTATGTACGTATGTATGTATGTATGTATGTATGTAATAAATGAATAAATGAATAAATAAATAAATTCAAAAGGCATACTCCTAATGACCATCCCCTTTCTCTCCCAAAAATAGAGGTGGAACAGAAAGAAGAGTTTGCTGAATTGCCACAAAGGAAAGACATTCTCTAAAAACCAATAGCACATCCTAAATGATCACTGATGGGAGAGGGAGCAATCATATGACCCAGAGAAATCTGGTGTCATCCTTGCTCCAGCAAGGTCTAACAGGCGAAACATGTAGCTACAATTTTCTGCTAAATGCAACAGGAATATTTTTCTTGATTTTCATGTTGAGATAATTCCTGCGGCTTCAGATATACAGTATTCTTAATTTTAAATTATTATTTCAATATTATACTTTGAGTTATATTACCTCGTATAGTTGCTTGTACCATCTAGCTACCTGACATCAAACTTTCCCATAAGACGCACCTTTCCATAAAATGTACCAATTTTTTAGAAGAAAATAGAAAAATATAATCTGTTTTCTTCACTCCATAAGACGCAGACTTTCCACCCCCCTGTTTTGTGGGGGGAAAGTGCGTCTTATGGTGCGAAAAATAAGGTAAAATGTCCTTATCAAAGTCTGGAATGGTTTTTGTGTGTGTGTGTATTCCCAAAGCTCTGTGTTTTCACGCAATCAAACACTGGAGGACTGGCAGATTCAGATAATGTAACAGCGGAGGGCAATCTGTATTGATTCCTTGGTTCTGCATTCACAACTGAGAGTGAGCAATTAGTCTAAGTGGGAGAAGGGTTGATGCTTATGTTTAATTCTCCAAAGAAGAGCCCCTTACCTATATTCATGGTCTGCATGGCATCTTTAAACATGTCATTGCTGAAAATGAGGGAGACCAGCTCCTGGGTAGGCTTGTCCAAAGTGCAGGGTCGTATCCTCTGCTTGGACAACTTCACTCCATCTACAGTGTCCACCTTAGATGAAAGACAACATCCATTTTGATCTGAAACCAGGTTTTTTGGGGGGGATTCTTTTGACAACAATTCCCAAAATCCTTCAGCAAGTGGTTATACCAGCTGTGGGGTTCTGGAAACTGTGATTCAACAAGTAGAATCTCAAATTAAAGGGCACCCAGAGATCTACTATGTAGATCCAGATCTATCTTCTTCCCACTTACGTCCCAGCATGCTTTGCTCTTTCCATGTTCTTTGGCCATTTACCTTCACTGACACCTCTTGCTCTTCCTCATCTCCATGATGCACCTCAATCAGGGTGTACTTGCCATCATAAGCTACAAAGTTCTCCCGGTCAGCCCAGCTGTTTTTTGTCTTATCTCGAAACTTCTTCTCAAAATCTTTCTTGGCAGCTTCCAGGGAAGGAAAGCTGCTGAGTTTTGACTGTCCCACTTCACCCTGGAAGCAAGAACATAAAAGCTAAAGGTGAGCCAGTTTAAAATATATATTGTGCCAAAGATATGGCACAATATATATTTAAACCTCTGTCTGATGCTTTGATGCGCAAAATCAGGCTGTTGAACACCCTCTGAAACACAAAAAGTCAAACCAGACAGGGATTTACCACACTCCTGGCTGGCTTAGAGATTAAATATATCATTAGGTGTTCCATCACCCTAACAAAGTACATGTTATCTTTCCATAACATCCATTACATTCCATAAGATAGCTTTTCATGGTGCAGAAGAAGGAGATCTGTAGTTTGAAAACAACATAACCTTATTTTGCAACATTTTGGAATCATTTATATATCAGTCATGAAAACATGTAAGGTGGCAGTGGGCGACCATTAAGGGAAGTGATGAGCAGGTCACTGTTTGTTTGTTTGTTTACTATGCTGCCGCCCTGCTAAGGAAGGGATGCAAGGAAACTCACAAATGATAAAAAAAAAAACCAAATACATAACTAAAAGCATATTATTATTAAAAGACTGCTAATATAAAAACACTTTTAAAATGAATGAAACATACAGCATCCAAAACTCCTCTTCTGGCTGCCCAATTTGCTGCTGAAAACATGCCTAAAAAGAAAGAGCTTAGTAGTTTTATATATATATTATATATATAATATAGATATTATCTCAATGGGCTCACACCCAAGGAAGTATAGGTTGAAGTCCTAAAAATATTTTTGGTAATACAGTATATATATGGTAATACATGTATATATAAAAACAACAAAATATATACATTACCATATGTATACTGTATTACCAAAAATAGTTTTAGGACTTCAACCTATACTTCCTTGGGTATGAGCCCACTGAGTTCAGCGGAGCTTGCTTCTGAGGACAGACAGCATTGTACTGCTAAAGATATGAAACAATTGATGCCATAGGTAGCTGAAATCAACCCTCTTCATTCATTACATTCAAAGGAAAAAGAAAACTATCCCACCCTTCTGCACTATATAACAATGTTTGTGGCACATACTCTTTTTGTATGCAACCATCCAATTCAATCACGGTTCTGAGGTTTTTATTACATGTACATAAAGCAGCAATAAATGGTGTCCCTCTGTAAAATCTGTGCACACCTTATTTTCCTCCAGCATAGCTGTCTATACATATTAAAGATATCCTTACTTTCAGGGCATACGGCCACCTTCTGTTTTACCCTTTTTCATGCTAAATTACACATGAAGAATAATGCAAGGGTTACAAGCACAGAAGAAAACACATTCACAGAGCAAAATAATTTTTTCCTTCTTATGCTATTCCATTTTGGTAATCTATTCTTTAAATTAATTGTTCTAACTGAAATTGTAATTGAAATTTTATGATTTTTTTATACTGCTCTTTTTTATTTTGTAAGCCGCCCCGAGTAGACATGGTCTAGAGGGGCAGGGTAAAAATCCAATCAATCAATCAATCAATCAATCAATCCCATGCCAAAGGCTGCCAGAGATGTGAAATTGTGGCTCTTAGTGTAGGTAAGAAAGAGCCAGAAAATTAAACAGCTATTTAGTGCTGGCAAACTTTTAGCCCTGGCCCTGCTTAGCATATTCCAGAGATAACTTATTACCCAGTTTTTGAGCTGGGAAGTTAATTGAACTTTCTTCCGCTGTTGTAAGCACTGTTCTACATTCTTCTTCCTGCTTTGTTTGCTTAAGCCTATAAACTTTATTGCAACTTACTTTGAATCAGGTTGACAAGGCACTCAGTTAGCAAAGGCCTCAAGTTAAGACGGAAACATTCTCTTAAAACTCCTCAGCATTCATAGGATACCCTGCTGCTTACAAGTTGTTTCCTCTCAAAATTATTCAAGCCCCTCCTGCTGTTTTGCTTGTGAGGTATCCAATGGCCAAAACACTCTTCAGAAGAGCCCTTGTTATCAAAGTGTATGCTCTTCCAACTAAGATTAAAAGCTATTCTCTAAAATACTAGCAAGCTAATTTTGAAGTACTCTTTAGTCCTAGTTAGGATCCCATAATACAGAAAAACAGCTCGCTCTCTCTCTCTCTCTCTCTCTCTGTGTGTGTGTGTGTGTGTTATCCCAGCACAGGTGAAAATAACGCCATTGTCTGCAATCGATTACCCAGTCCTGGGAGGAGGCGGGACGACAAGCCTCTCTGCTATGTCAGAGAGTGGCTAACCCATTGTGGAGAACAGCGCGATAGGAAGCTTCTGCAGAGCCGGCAGCAGCAGCAAAATCATGAGTTTTGCACCTGTGCGGGGATATTCATATTCATATTCGAATACCCCCATCTCTATCTATCTACACACACAAAGAGAGAGAGCCTGAGGTCTGTATATACACTGAGCGGGAGGACAGAGGAACTGAGATCCTTCATTATGACAAAACTGCCACGTACAGCCCCTAGGCTCCAGTACTTTGGCCATCTCATGAGAAGAGAGGACTCCCTGGAAAAGACCTTGATGTTGGGAAAGTGTGAAGGCAAGAGGAGAAGGGGACGACAGAGGATGAGATGGTTGGACAGTGTCACCGAAGCAACCAACATGAATCTGACCCAACTCCGGGAGGCAGTGGAAGACAAGAGGGCCTGGCGTGCTCTGGTCCATGGGGTCACAAAGAGTCGGACACGACTAAACACACACACACATGGATTGTTAGGTGAGGGCAGTTACTCCTTGAAGGTTAAGGAGAGGGAGAAAAAGTGTGCCCACCTGCAAACCTTGTTTGGTAGGCAAGCAAAGCACAAAGAGGGGGGACTGGGAAGAAATCCTACCCACAGTTAGTGAAAAGGAAAAGCAAATAAGGGCCAAGTGCAACAGACGGATGACTCAGTACATCTTGGATTGCAGCTTCTCCAGCAGAGAGTCTCTGCCAAAGGATGACAAAGTATTCCGGGAAATAAAAGCCTTGTGAAACTGGACCCCTTGGAGAAGGAAGACAACTGGCAGGCATGCCACTTCAGGGCCCTGAGAGGGAGGGAGAGAAAGATCCCTTTGCATCTGTACGCCTGAAAGCCATTTCATATTTTTCTCTCTCTCTCTCGTAATCTCTCCCCCCCCGTGTGTGTGTCTGTGCGCGCATGCTCATGCCAAACAGGCAGTGAAAACACAAGCAAATGGCAAACTTTTGCCAAGCTAGAACTGTCTGCCACCAAACAAAGGGGCTTAAAGGAGTATTTATGCAAGAAACTCTGGAACTGTGTATGGGGGCGGGGGGGGGGGAGAGAAGGCTGCATCCAGGGCCTGTGTTTAGAACATTGTATGATCCTATCAGTGTTTCACAGCTCCAGTTCCAGGGATACAACCATTTGGATTCCTGGAGTACACTAAGAAGCACAAAAATAATTTACAGATGTAATAACAGGAAAACCAGCACCTGAAACTAGAGAATCCCCAATTCAAGTGTACCTTTTTGATAGGACAAAACAGCATAGTGGCAGCATGGGGATGCCACCTGTACTTAAACATTCAGAAACAAAAATGCACTAATCCCTCTTGTCCCACTGCCCTGTACTCAGGTTACGTTTGATGCTCAAGTCCCATTGTCTCCTGTGAGTTTGATAGGAAAGCACAAAAGCTATGGGAAAAAGTTTACAGAGTTTCAGTACAGAATTACACTATTATTATGTTTCTATATTGCCCAATAATCACATTTCTGTAGGTGAAACAGAGGTGAATTAAAAACATAATACAAAATCCCAACACTCAGATTCCTATTGGTCTCTGTGTAAGGTTTTGCTTAGCCTGTCATGGCTAATTGCCTGGTCATGCATTCAACTACACAAGAAGGATGCATCCAAGCACTTCAGCCACTGACCCCAATGAGTTAAGCAAACCTCATGCAAACACTAATAGGACTTTTGCCAAATGAACACTGATAATTTAAAAATCCACCCACAGAATAAAAGCCGGCAGCAAGGGCTAAAAACTACACAGAATATACTAAAATCAAAGTAAGAGCCGCCAGGAAAAAAAAAAGAGTGCAACAACTCTAAAAGCACTCAAACCATTGTTACAGATGCCTGGGAGAACATAAGCTCTTCACCAAATGTTTAAAAGATTGCCGTGTACACACCAAGTGAGCCTCCTTCAAGCGGCCATCCTTCCACAGGGTGTGCTACCACTGAAAAGGCACTGAAGAGTGGAATCAAACATTTTCCAAGCTCAGGGTAGATAAAAGGAAGGTTGACTGGATAGCTCAGTGAATTTGGTATCTGGCTGCAGAATCACTGGCTGAGAGTTCGATTCCCTACTGTGCCTCAAGGGAGAAAAGCCAGTCTGTGTAGCCTGGAGGAACTTTGCACAGTACCTCCACAGCAAAGAAAACTAAACCTCTCCTGAGTATTCTATACCCAGAAAAACCTGGCACGGTTGCCGTAAGTCAGAATTAACTTGACAGCATGTAATTATATATTAATTAGGTAAAGGGGGGGGCAAAATGTGCCTTCAAGCTGTTTAAAAACTAAAACTTAAAGCAAGCACTTTGAATTGAGCCCAAATATATTTTGTTAAAAGAGATTCTCCTATAACTCTCCAAGCTAGATGGGATGAAATTATTGCCTGAGAAACTGGGGCATTACTTCGGAAGTCACTGAACCCTAGAGACGGCTGCTGAGAATATTAATTAGGTCTGTTAGGAAAAATGCTTCTCAAGTTTGGAACAGTGGTTTAATTTTCATGTATGTTCTTTGCCTCAACAGTAAGGAACATTAATAGCATTTACTCCTAATTGTTCCCTAAAGGCTTTTGTTTACTGCAAGCTCATGGCAGTAATTTTAGTAACAAAATTGAATATTTGAATTACCGTATTTTTCGTGCCATAAGACGCACCTTTCCATAAGACGCACCAATTTTTTAGGAGAA